CTCCCCAGGATTAACAGCCAAAAACAAGCTAGACCTCCGGCCCCCCTCCCCAACAAAATGCCTGTCTGCACCCCAGAGAGCCAGCCTCGCACTCTGCCTCTCACCTTCCTGACCAGAGCCCAGCCCCCCCGCCTCCCTCTTTTCTTTCTCCAAATCGCCCATTAACCTGGCTAGCTACATCTTTTGTAATGCTAATGACCTCCCTTCCCCCACTCACTCCGTTTCTTTCCCTTGGAGTGGGGCAGGGGAAAGAAAAATTCCCCTGATCTCCTAATCTATAACAATGAGCTTTTACAACAACTGCTGCAAAATAACACTTGTCATCTTGAACAAAACGGCATTACTGTGCTGGTGGAATTACAAAACATTACAAGATAAAAATGAAAAAAAAACAGAATAGGGAACATAGGCAGTCAAATGTGTGAAATGAGAGTGAAGGAGAGGGACATAAAACCAAGCCCTCCCAAAAGCAACAACCAGTTTTCCTTTCGAAAAATAGGGCCACAGCTGTGAAAAATTAAGGACAAAGCCGTATTTTCATAGAATCATGGAGTACCAGGTTTGAAGGAATTCCAAGGATCAACCTTTCTTGGCAAAAACATGGTGTAGACAAGATAGCCCAGCAAACTCTTTGAGTGAATCTTATAAGTGTCCAGTGTTGGGGAATCCACCACTTACTTCCCTGAGGATATTATTCCAGTGACTGTTCTCATTGTGAAAAATTTTCCTCTTCTGTCAAATCATAATCACTCCAGCAGTAACCTGTACTCATCCCCCCATCTTTTCCTTGTGTTTCCTTGTAAAAAGGGAGTCTCCACTTACTGTGTCTTTTTCTCATATGTAGGTTCCTCCTGACTCAAAAATATAACTAACTGTAACATTAATTTAATATGTACGACGACATTTATCATCATCTTAACACATCTCAATATATTTTAATTTACCAGTTCAATCTAATTATAAAATTCCTTACATGGACAACTATCCTTAAGGTTTTTGAAGCTCTGCCTTAAAGGATCAGCTATAATGATTTTTACACAAAGAATATATTTCGCACTGTTCTTCACGAGTTTTAAGACCTTGTAAAAAATTAGTTTTTGTAGGTAGAACAGGCATATTTCTAAAACAACACTCCCAAATATACACGTACTAGTGAACCTGAGTTATTCAGTGTTCCCTTGTCTAACAGCTCATGCCAAGACTTGTATAAATTTTTATAATTTTAAGATGTCCTAGAAAGCCAGTATTTTTCAGAGAAAGAATATATTTTTTTCTTTTGTTATTTTTCAGTGAGGTTTGTGTGATTATTTTTTTTTTTTAATGAAGGGGACACTTCTCCAAAATGAATACACTACCATGCTATGTAGAAAATAAAACATTATTCTAATTTTCATGTGATATCTTTAAAATTACTAGCACATTGTAAAATAAATTCAAGTCTTATTTAGTCTCTACAAATGTGTTTCCAACATCCTTATATGGTTCACTGTTGAATAAACAACAGAAATGACAATGGGGAAGTATCCTCACTGAAAGGACAAAACTAATTTATAATTTCCAGAAAATACCAACCATGCTTTGAGCTGGGCAGTATAGAGATAACCATCTCGTGGGGCATGAGTCAACATCTCAATGTACTAAAACTGACAAAATAAACATCTCACATAGTTCTGAAACTTTGGTTGTATGCTATTTGGTCTTCAGAGGACAACTGATAGGGTAGTTGGATATTATGTGGCATGTAAGCTGGTCTTGAGGTTACTCATTCTTATTTTCCATTAATTAGCACACAATAAAGTCTTTTAAAAATAACTACTACCAGGTTGAGAAATCATTTGCATAATGCAAACCATACATATATATCCATTATACATGTACATAAAATATATTATATATAAAATATATAATACATTATACATATACACATTTACCTAAAAAAAATAGTTTTTAAAATCAAACTTTGATTTAATAAGCTTTTTAATTTTCAGATATTCTTAACATTGTTTCCCTTATATCTTGAAGATAATGTTGTCTTTCTGCTTATTTCCTTTCAAGTGGCATAGAAATTAATTACTATAAAATGTTTTTATATTGATTGAAGTCCTTGCAATCAGGTTATTAATTGTCTTCTCACTTAAAAGAGGGGGTACTACATTTTTTGACAATATCTTGAGCCTCTCAAGATGCATACTTTTAGGTATGAATGAATCTCGGGGAAAAATTATTTCATTTTTTTCATAATCAACTGGTCTCTATGAGTGACTAAGGACAATACTATCAATCCATGCAGCAGCAGCAGGTCATGTAGTAATGTTTTAACATTTTACGGGTAAAAAGTGGAAACATTTCAAGAGATTTGTTCTCAGCCCAGTGAACAAGAACAATTGGTATTATTTGCTCCATGTGTGTGATTCAGAATCAACAATAGGGGAAAGTTCTTGTATCAGCAAAGATAGGCCTTAAGGCAATTATAACTGTCTTTTTTAATCCATGCACAACCACTTTTCTGGAAATATAAAGCCTTTTCTTTGAAGTCAGCATGCTCTGGTTTGTTGGTGGAACACAAGCATCACAGCCATGACCATGTGCAGATCTACCTTAGCCAACTAAAGATGTTAATAAAACTCAGGCTTAGCTCTAGATTATGACTGTTCTGTTTGCTCTGAGCAGTTTATGTTTGCTCGGCTAAATACCACATACCCTCAAAGCCCATATTTAGTTCTCTATGATAAATAGTTATGAAAAATATCTTTAGGTGCACTAATCTGAAGGTACTGAGTAATCACACCAGTAATGCCTTTAGGAAGGGTGAAGCTCCTTATGCAGACTGGAGATAGCTGTGAAAGCAGATCGAATTTCAGTGGGCGCTGCAGTTTTTTCAAAAAAGAAATAGAAATGTGTTTTGTGTTTTCTTTTTAAGCTGCTAAATAAATGTACAAACTACTACTGCTTAGAAACAAATGCACAGGGCTTGATTTCACAGAAGGTGAAATGAAGTGTTCAGCAAGACATCCACGCCCAGTGGGTCACTCAGACCTCCCCCTGTACTCAATCACTTGCTCCCACTTCATTGCCTAATTTTGCCCTGCCAAGACTATCGCATTGATTTCCCCCCTGAAACTCTCACCTGGCTCTTC